TTGAGGATTCACAGGAATCCGTTCGATGACGCTTGATAGCATTCGTCATTATCCTATAAAGTATTTAATCATTTTGCGATTAGGTTTTATTTCATTTTTACCTGTCGCTCGTCTCTTCGTTATCAGAATCATATTAAAAATCTCATGTTCTCAGTTCCTAATGACAACAATACATAGTAAAAAATCTAATCATTTTTTAAAACAACCTGACGAGGCTAGAGATAGGTTGAAATAGATCGGCCCATGTCGCGTCTAGGAACGGTTCGTTTATCAAATTATCCGTCGTTCATGGTCGAATCCTGATTTTTCCCCCGGGTCGCGAATTGGACATTCATCAAGCCACACTCGTTCGTGGTAACGGATTCCCTTCTCGCAGGGTCTGACGACTCAATCCGAAGCTCGGTCCCGAGCCGACGCGACGCGACGAAGAAGAAAATGATGAAGTCTCGCGATAAAATTCATGAGCCGCGCGAACGCGCTGCTCTCGCGGGACGCCGCGCCGCGACGAAGGCGAAGCGAGCGAGCGAGCACGCGAGCGATTAGCATAAAGGAGTCTCATTAGCAGCGGCGCTCGCCGAAATGTCAATTCCTACGCGATCCACCGGGACGACGTCCACCCGGAACCAACGTGTGCCTCCCTCGGCTCGATCTCCCCAACGGAAAAGGGCCCCGAGTTCGTGGCCCGATCCGGCAAATATCGACGACGGCCATCGTCCCGTCCGTGCTCACCGCGTTAACTTCTCCGATCGCGGTAACCTTTGCTTCCCTTGACAATCGCGATGCCACTGGAACCTATCCTCACATTCTAGATACCTACAGAAATTAACCAGCTAATTCTCATCATTCGTTTTGATTCGAAACTTATTATACTATTCGTTTCATTTTTTGTGTGTCGAAATCTTAAGATTTTTTTATATCATAAAATATAGAATCCAATAACGTTACTAAAATTATTACGATTATTCTCTTATCGATTCTGTTTCAGGTCTTCTCTTCCTCTTAGTATTTGTATTGATCTCTTAGTATTCATGGAAATCTATAAGGGAGCAAAGTTTAATAGATGATATTGATTCAACAAAGGAAAAGGTCACCGGGTAAGGGGGAAGGAATCACTGGCATAACCCGTTTCGATTCTGTGTCGCGCGTGCAAGCGATGTTTGAGGGTGAAAAAGTCACGCGAGTACCGTAACAATGAGTCGTCATGGGAAAAGGTGGCCTTTAAGGCTACGTCCAATGGTCGCTAATCGCGAATACCCGCAGGCGTAATCCTGACGAGGCTGTCGTTTGATTCATCGCCTCCGCTCGCGCCTCAACGATCGGACCTTTGTCCTCTGTCCCAGTTAATTTTACATAATTCATAATACAAATCGCCACGCTTCAAGAATGTTTTAGTATGATGTTTGCAGAAAACATTTAGAGCAAATATTAAGTAATTAGCATTGAAATACGAGTATTTACTATCTCAAGTGAAATGCAATTTTTCAAAATAAAGATTCTTATTGTGATTGCGTTATTAGAACTGAGGATTCTTCAGTTTTAGTTCATGCGATCATAAAAACATTAGATTGCATCCACAATTCCTGTATTATAGAACGTGTTTAATTAATAGCATGATTAATCAGGATTAATCCGTCGAACTTTCAGTTTTCTTAAGCACTGTTCAATTCCTTCGATGTTTCCAATTCCAAGGATCATCGCAGGAGCTCTGGAGCGTGTTTCCATTATCGGTCATTGCGTCGCCCGCATATCCGGCGGCGGTACACCTTTTGTCCGGCGCTAATCCCCCTTCTCTCGCCGAGACGAGAATTCTCGGCATGCCGCTATAATGACGCGAGATTTCCGATAATTTAACAATGCTCTCGTTATTGCCGGCCATCGAGGCATCGCCAGTGGTTGCCGAGGTGCCGAAGAAAATGTGACTGCGTAGATGGAAGCGCATATTCTGTATTAATAGATACATAAGTATGGAACGCTTGATTGCAGAGATGACACTTCTTGGAGAGAACAAACATTGCATTTCTGCTTTATTTTTAAGTGTCCCAACACTCGATGCAAAAAATTAAGAGAGTTACTAGAAACATACTATCTGAAAGATCAAGTATGCAGTTGGCTTGTCAGAAGGATATAAAAAATTATTCAGTCGATGATCATTCTGTCACTATCCTCAAAGGCTTGATGGGTCTGTTTTTTTAGATAGGAATGATGATTTCGCATTTAAACAAGATTAATGTGCAAAATTATACGAGTAACGTGTCATCGCTATAAACAAGAATTGCGACTTGCAGCCACGATTCTACTCGCGATTGCGTTCAAAGGAAAGGAAGAAAGGGTTAAGGTCGATACGGTGGAATGTCTCGTAATCGCAGAAATATTCTCAGTTATCGTTACGTCACCGCCACGATGGCTGACGGTGTTCGCTGACAAATAGAATTAAACAATCTTTGCCTATTCTTTCGGTATGCTTGAAAGCTTCACAGAGTTCTAGCCGCGGCATCTAAAATTCGCGGTAATCGAATTTTATCTTGGCCGGTGGGCTCGTCCTTAGCTTCTCTCAACAGTCTGGAATTCCTGGCTATTATGATGTCTGAAATTCCTGAATTCCTTAAGAATTCTCCTTACAAGCGATTGATCGATTTCCTTCAAGCTTTTTCAGTCACTATTGAAAATTCTTCAATCTTTCCTTCGAATCTTATCAGTAAAATTAGTTAATTAAACTGTCTTAAATTCATCCATGATAGAATTAATCGTATCATTATATATTTTTTATCAATTTCATATCGTAATTTACGATTATCGAAGCAAATTAAATGCAGAAAGTGTACGTGGCTGAGAAGATTCAATTAAAATTCGCCAGCTTTCTGTCACGTCGCTTATATGGATGGGACGAGCAAACAGCGAGGATGTGGCCGTGCGTGGTGGGCCGGTACGATGATCCACTGATCCTCGGACAGGACCTCCAGGCGCGTTAGATCTCGTGCACGCGATCCTTCGTAGCGATCCAACGCGTAACGTGTCGTTTCACTCTCGCCCTTCTCCTCTTTCCACGAAACGCGAACATATGTATATGCATATAATGATCTGATAAACGTCACTTCGAGATAAAACCGATTTTTGTCGACCGGCCGGTTCGCTGGCGTATGTAAGCATATACACGCGCGTGTCCCGATTTGTATCAAATTTTTTTAATCCACCCAGCTGATGATGAGGGATCGAGAATTTATGATGTTGTATTCTCAGCAGCATTTTATCGAACATGAGATAGGAAGTAAAAAGAGATTAAAACAGCCTCTGATATTTATAGATGGAAATGGCTGTAGGCAGACGGGAATAGAATTTAGCTGGATTTTTTTAAGACAGGATCACCTTGTGATGTTTCTGCGGAAAGTGGAACGCGTGGTACATCGAGCTCGATGATCAACTGCGTTTTCTTCGACGTCTAAACTTGTTCTCCTCGAAAGTTAACCGTGTAGTCCTGTGTTCGTCCCCGCGTGTTCCATAGAGGCAAACGGTGTTACAACATGGAACGAATACGTTGTCATTTTTCCATACACGCTCGACACGGATCGGCGACATGCACTTAGTACATCATTACAACGTATTAAAGGATATACTTCGATGTTTTTCATATCATGAAAATTACACGTTTCGAAGATTATGCAGAGAATTTTTCCAAATTCGCAACAATCTTCATACTCGGTCCCTTTTAAGTTCTTGCAACATGTTATTCAAATGAGGAATTTTGTACAAAACTTCCTAGATGTCAGTTTAAAAATTCAACTACAAATTGACATTCCTTTCACCCTTCAATAATAATGATTATAATTCATATTTTTGCATATTACGCGTACGCTTAATATTTCCATGCGCATTGAAGTTTTCGATAAATGTTTGAAATCCGAAGATTACGAACGAGTTATTGAAATGAAAATTCGCTGAATCTTCGATCACGTAGCGAATCGTCTACGTAGCACGTTCCTTAATTTCTCAGACGTATTACGTATCGACGATGTTCGAAAGCTCACGAAGCACTGTGTGGTACCGTTAAGCCGGCGATATCGAAGCTGAGAAAGGATTAAAAGACTGCGTGCGCATTCATCGGGTAAGATGAAATCCAACAGGAAGAAGCCAAGGCGTAGCGAGGCCACCGCTTTGTGGCCAGGTGAATGCTGGTGTCGATCGTGACACGAGTTGCGTGAACCGTAGTTCTCTTCCGCTCTGTGCCTCGCTGGCAGCGCACGCTGCTGTCCAGATTGCCCACGCGACCGTGGGTGTCCGAAGTGTTGAATAATACCGTGTGCTTGCACTCGTTACGCAGATATTCGGATAAGGAGTAGCTTTAAACAAACAGAGATCGGGGAGAGATAGCAGGGAGGATTCTCTAGAAAGCTAGATAAATATTCTCAGGGCTTGACTCCCGTTTGGAATTCAAACAAGAGTTATAAGAACCGACATAACATATCTTCACAGATGATACTAAGAATCTAAGACGCTTAGGAAACTTTGAGATACATAATAAAAGTATTGCTTTTATAACCGGTCTGAACGAAGTGTGAAAGTTAGTGGATTAACATTAGTAGTTACTAACAAGCTGGCTATCATAAACGAGAGTAGGGACGGAAAAGGGGAATAGAACTCGTGTAGAACACGTAACATAAATTCACTCGGGCTTATAAACTTCACATCGTAAACGTAAACTTCGCGCAGGCTAAGAGTAACTAATTAACTAAGTTACAGGAAACACACTGCCTGTAAATTTTCCCTAACAAATCCGTGAAACTTCCGTTCATATCTTGGTGGGTACAACATTCTTATTAATTATAAATAACGATCGCCACAAAAATCCTCGTATTTTAGAATGTATATGAAACAGTGTAAGCATTTCTAAACATTATGAAGTAATATGAAATTACAGTAAAAACTTGTACGAAATCTGATAATCTCGTTTTAGCAGTCGGTGTTCAGAACTTCGATCGTATATTGTTAAACCCGTTATTTTTTAGACAGCATGTCGGATGGAACCAATAATGGATGCAGACCGATGGCTTGTAAATTGTTGGGTGAGCAACGACTACTCTCGGCAGCTGACATGGGGGATTTCAACGTGGCTCGTACTTCTTTGCCATTCAACTTCAGCCCGAAGTCAGAAGAGCGACAAGATCAAAGATAAAGGCGATCTACAACCCAATAGAACAGTAAACACTCGCTCGGACGCGGAATCCTAGCTCCTTTGTCCTTTCTACTTCTCTCATGCAACATGCATTTGTCAAATGATTATACGTGTTACGATTTATTCCCTGTTGGCAAATAGAGCAATACAGCTCGAGCAGGAAATCGTGTCAGATCGCTTGAGGCTTCAGATTTTTTTTAAGTTTAACAAATTCTCAAAAGTATCGTCATTCTTATCTAATATCTATACTATATGAAATCTAGTCGATTAAATTAGAATTTCTTTTAATTCTTCTATTAATAGAGATTTATAATGTTTCTTTTGAGAAACTAGATTTTTTTTAAAGAATGTCTGAACAGATTCACAGATACAAGGGAGTAGAGTAAAAAAATGTATGAAGCTGTGAACTCAATTGAAAAGAAAGAAAGTTCGTTTTGTTAAACGGCGCAATCGTGTCCGCATCCCTGACAATCCCTCGGCCTTCTTCTGTCTCTCAGCTGACGCTTTCAGAAATATTTGCCGGCAATTACTCCCAGGAGCGTTTAAGCGGCTGCGGAAGAAAGAGGTGCAAAAAGAGCAGCGAGGAATTCCCGCATGCATAACGTTGACAAGATTTATTGTCACGCGACCAGATTACGAGAATCCGGTCCATGCAGTACGAATAATACATTCGGTGTACCGTTATCTCGAAAAACGTTTCGGCAAAAATTCTTCCCGTTCGTGTTCGATTAATTGTAAAATCAGATTGTATAGAATTCACTTTGATATTTTCTTGAAAGTTTACTGCATTTTGTTAACTGAAAAATACTTTGCGTTTTTTTTTTAAATTATTAAGAGGGTCTGTGAGCATAATCTTTCATTATCACATGCTTCTATTATTTTACCTTACAATTATATTCCATCATTTCTGTTCTCAAAATGAATGATAATAAAATTGAAGAAAGTTTTGAAGGAATTCAAGCTGACGCGAATAAAAATTTCAATTCAACCTCGGCGACCGCGAGAGTCCTTAATTAGCGATTAGGAGAGGTCCGGAAGGGTAAAGTCTGCATGGTTCCACCCTTGCCCCATGTCATGGATCTGAATTCTAACGAACGATCGTCGGATTCCTTGCTAATTGCGCCCGCGAAACCGGAATGCTCATTGTTCGATGAAAGGAAAACGGGGAGGACACGTTTACGTTTCGTCGGTAGCCACTCTTCCCTGTGCCCTCTCAGGTTTCATTCTTCCCTCTTTCACTGTCGCGCATACGTCGCATACCAGATTCGAGCGTCGCGAATTTCTTCGAAATACCACCATGTACGGGATAAAATAAACGTTCGTTGAAATTATAGGATATTCTGAACAATAGTGTTCTCATGCAACGGTTAATATATTGTTTTAAGTACAAGGAATTCAATAAAGATTTGGACGTGTGAATTGAAAAATTAGAAACACCAGTTCTATTGAGATAAATAGAATGTTTTTAATTTAGGAATATTATATTCGATGCTTTCTGTTGCTATTTCAAATTGAATTATGATTCGCGGATTTCCCTTAAGGCATAAAGATGGCACGCCCTAGCGAACGAGTCCAAGCGATCAAGATTAGTGTACATATAATATCTAAACCGACTTCCGGGATAGCTTTCTGTGTCTCTTGATAAGTAGAGCCAGAGAGAGCGCACACGCCTTTCGGTTCAAGGCCCGTTATCTCTTATCGCCGCCCGACCACCCTCCAGTTCGTGGTTTCTAAGCGAAAGATCGAGCCGTAAAGATAACAGCTGTCTCCCCCCTCTTACCCTCAGCCTCTTTTCTGCCATGACGATTACGAGAATCATTCGAATCCTTATCCCATGCCGACGGAATCTATGGAAAAATCGTTTAGCAAAGTATCATTGCCGGAAGAAAATGACATAAGTTATAAACCGCTGTATCATATATAAATAACCCTATATAACAAATGTTGAATCTGTCCTAATCATACAAGTTTTCACGTTATTTCCTTCACGATGAAACTTTAGACAGCTTAGAAGAATACGTCGATCAATTTCTTTCTTATAATTTCGATGGCACTTTTTGAGTTGGCGAAGCTACAGTGAAGTCAATAATGAGTTATCGTCGGTCATTGGCATAACGGTGCCAGTGGCTCGTCAGCGAGTCCTAAGAACTTGACTTTTCACCCTGAAGGGGACGAAGTGGCTCGATTATCAAAGGTCAGCCGGATCGTTAGCCGTGGACTCCCGTAAATCGACGTAGGTCAGTGAATCGCGAATCAGTGCGGCTCCCTCGTGCGAACCTCGTTGACCCGATTTAAAAGGGAGTTTAGACGCGACTCGTTCGCAAGCGAGATTCCTGATCGTCAACCAGAGGAATCTGATCATTTCGTTCTTCGGGCGGTTCTCACGCCGAGATTATCGACCGGATGAGATCCTGTCTTTGGCTTCGCTTTCTAGCCTGGTTAGACTGGAATTTGCATTGATTATTTCCGTTAGCTCTAACAACTGAAAACTTCGTTTCGATTCTGTATAACCTTGATGCTCGCGCGTAATAGCTAATCAATTAGCGAATCTTTAAGACTATAAGGAAATGATTATGTTAGCGTATTTTATGGAAACCTTGAAAATATTATTCACAGCAATTGAATCGATAATGTTTAAAAAATATTCGCGAGGTGATCACAGCCTATATCGGCAAATACTCTGTATTTAAAAAATGCCAAGAAGTCCTTGAATCGTTTTTATTATAAAAATCGACAGAAGTCAAACATCGTACTCATATGTATTGAGTACCCTTTTCCAAAGAAATTACTGCGTCTGCATTAATTATGTACACACTTATACCCACGTCGACGAAGAAAGCTGAATTCCTAATGAATCTTAAATACATACTTAAATTAAACAGGCGGTAGTTAAATTAAATGAAAAATTCGATGAAATTACGATCGGTCTTCCAAAAATCGATTTAAATGAACTCCTACTCGAACTCGGATTTTAAATATTAAATTGAATTCGCGCGAAGGTCCCTTAATTGTCCATCGCCAGAAGCTATTACGTGGTAACCACGGGTACGGGACAAAGGACTCGTTAAGCAATCTTCAACTTCACCGGAACGCTTCGGGCAAGAACGAGCAGGTTTACGACTGGCCAAATTGTATCCGAGGAAAACCTACGATTGGCCTCCGGTCGGAGTGGTAGGTATTTCTGTAAATTGCTTAATCCTCTAAGAGACCATTTGAAAGACCAATCGCTTCTTTGCCTCTCTCCTTAAATCTAATGTTTTTATTGTACTTAATATAAAATCATTTATTTCTGATTATTATCGAAGTACAATCTCATTATAATTTCATGTAATACATGTATTAATATTTTTTTCTAATTCGTCACATAAGAACAAATTTCTTTTTTAACACAATTTCAACACTGCTTGGAAAGCTCAAGGTTTTTGTGCGATTGTCTTTTGTATAATTTACCAGAATCTTTCCCCTCCGGGTGTACAGAGAACGAAGTAATAAAGTCGGATTCTGAAATATGATGAAACAGCGAGAACATTAATATTGAATGACGAATCTCCGTCTAACTTGCAATATTTCCTTCGACGTTCAAGATTGAAAACTGCAAGTAAAAGGGTTGAAAGCTAAAGAAGAACGAGGGTGTGGTAGAGAATACTTGGTAACAGAAGAAATGTGAAACGTTTCTCATGGAGTTACGGATCCAATTATCAACGAAGCCTTGAGCAACGAGCACAACGGCTAATTAAGTTCTGTTGTTACATCCTCGTAAATTTCACGTCCCGACGAACTCACGGTAAAAGAAGGTGGACCGTAAGGAGGAGACAAACGACGCCGGTCGATCCGGCGGAAACGTTTCATTGCGAGTTCAGTGGGAAATTGGTGCTAATCGAGCCGTGCTTGAATAATAGAAGAGTTATAAAAGTGTTCCGCGGAATTATTTTTATATTTCTATTTTCTGTTCTATCAGTGCCTCGTGTGAAATTTCTTTCTCTAAGGAAGTCTTGTATTATTCATAGGATTAAAAGATTGAGAAAAAAGATGAATACTTGAATATAAGATTTTAAAGCTTTTATTGATAATAATGTGTGTATATAAGAAGTAATTTTATAATCTTGAATAAAATCTATTGCGCCATAAAGGGGCAGCGTTTATTCCATATCAGTGGTACGAAAGTTTAGCGCTGGTAGCAGGAAACAAGAAGGCAAACAGAAAAAGAAGGAAGGGGGTAAGCGAGTTTATCTACGGGACGCGCATAATTACGAGATCACGTCTGCGCGAGACGTCTCCGTCGCGTCTGGAGTCTGTTAACGTTACTTAAGGGTCCTCAGGTTCATTGTCATATTCCGTGTGAGAACTCGCCTTTGTTTACTCCTCGGCGTTCTGAAACGTCACTATGTAACTACTTATCGCCGTCGATCTGTACGACCACGTTTCTCCTCTCCTCTCATACCTTCTCTCGTCGACGTCGTCTTCCTTAACGAACTGAATTCCGTTGCACTTGATGAGCGTCATTTTCTGCTCCTACGTGAACGGTACTACGAATCAACGCGAATCGTGATTAGATCTCCTCGAACGATTGAAACAGAGGGAAAAGGAACGCTGCCTGGTTCGTTCACGTCGATGTCAATGACACTCGTCTGACGAGATCAGATTAATCAATGCAAATTTATTCTTCTAATTATACTTTAATTATTATTTGATACTGTTTCTCAGTGTGTCCTACTTACGACAGAAACTGTATCACTCGTCTTCTTATGGAAGTTAGGTATAATTCTAAGATGAAAAAACGATGGTAATAAAAAGACGTACAAGTACAATATTCATGGAATATGTTTTAATTAAGAGGACGAACATGTTTCTGGAAAGTTCAAAGTTCCAAGGATGTAGTAAAACATAACACGAGTGAGATAGTTCATTGTGAACGATGTCTCGTCATAAGCATCTCCGAAGTCGTTTCTAATTATGAAAACAGCTGGCATCGCTTCGAGCGATGCGTTCGACACATGCAGTAATCCATCAAACACTTAACTCCGATCTAGCATCTAATTATCATCGACGCTGGTCTAAGATGTGCAACTATTTAGATACATACGTGCATACATATTTCCACTGGAACTGACAGCTTGTTCACTTTGCTCGATCAGCTGAACTCGTCAGCAGTGAGCATCGATGCAAATAATAAAAGTGAATGGACAAAGAGACCGTATATATGGAGAGATAAAAAAAATTATAATTCCGTCAGATTTGTATACGTCAGGCCCGTTAGATATTACTATAGATATAATTCGATCGTGTTTGTCAAAGAGGAAATAAAGGGAGAAAGAGGGGCGCGTTGGTTGGGCGACCCGTTAGATCAAAACTAGGTCGTTACGCGCGTTTCTAAAACGTTTCGACGTTTGGAACACCGATTGTGTTGCGTTCCTAGATCCTCATACTAATCTCGACCTGGAATCGACAATTTTTCGCGATCGTGCCAACGAAGAAAAACCTGAAATTAATAAACATGTTCGGACTAACTTATGAACAGTTGAACAAAATGTTATGTATTTCTGTCTGCAATACTCAGAAAGATCAATTATTCTTTCCGTCACATATGCATTTCAGCTTTTACCAACAAGCATAATTTTACAATTAAGAGCACATGGCGGATGTGCAAGTGGAAATCTTAATATTATTAACATGCTATAATCAGAACTTAAATGTTCGGTTATCTATTGTCATTGTAATTAGCCGCAAGTTTTTCAAATTAATTGGCGACCATTTGCCTTATTTTATGAATAGCAAATACGCCGTCGTATGAGTCACGATAAATCCAGTCCCGGTGAGCATATTAATCTTTAAACGCGTTCACGATTTCGTAAACGGAAAAAAGAATCTGATATCGGTTGTTATTTAAATCGACGTTTAAGATCTTGCGTGTGAATTAGGAGTATTTGCCTTCTTTCATACATTTAATTTTTTAAACTAACCGAGAAATAAATCTTCTCTGAAAATTTATTAAAAATACACTTTACTCCAGTCACATATTATTACCTGCAATTTACAATAATTAATTCTGTAATTATTATTTAATATATCGAGAGTCCTGTCGGAGAAACCAGAGTAACTTCGTGATTTATGAAATGATAATGAGTTCCAGCTAAATGAACTGTGCGATCATTTTAGGACCCGGTTTGTACAACTCGATTCGATTTAATGCCTCGAATCCGCGATACGGATTTAGCCGGGACCGCGATATATTTAGCTTGGGAAAGATGTTATCGGGACTGGTTAAACCGGCGCGTTCGATGTAATGATTATGCGTGGTCGTCGATGGTAAAAAAAATTCGATTCGGACGCCTCATAAACCGGCTTCGATAAGTCCGCGAACGTACCCGCTTTAACGGGGACGACACGGCGACGGACCTACATGGCCACTGCAAAATCCTCTTTACATTTGAATTTTTCAACTTTCGCTTAGTATTTTCTATAGATAATCCGAGTCAATTGTTCGTTATCCGATTTCGTAGTTTTAAGCTTGTTAAAAGTCTCGTGTTAGGAACGTCAGGATAGAGAATTCTTTAAATTTATTATTACTATCAACCAAAGTCAAACGCAACGGGTACTTAAACGTGAACCTCATTACGTGCCTACTGGCTAAAACATAAAAGTGAATTAAGAGCGTTAAGTTATGGACTGGAGACGAATAACTCCAATTTAATAATGATTAGAAAATACCGTTCCAAGTATTTGTCCATAAATTTTTTCTCCCATTGATTGGGCGCGCGATTAAATTCGTTATTATCGAATCACGCCTACGGAACCTGTCGCGTTTCATTCAACGTCAACACTCGCGGTATGCCGTGCGTTGATAGCAGCTGTTGACAAATTGGGAATGCGGCGATTAGCTTTGCAAACACGCGTTAGCCACGTAAGCTACAGTTAATCAATCTTTTTGTAGCTAATCCAATACCGATAATAAGGCAAACTAACTGTGATTTCGAATCATTATTGTTAATTCTTGCTGCTTCGGCGACCATCAACACACAACGTGTAAAATTCCTGGCACGATATTTAATTTGCTGATGATCATCATCTCCTTCGCGATTGGAACGAAACTACTTCCTACTTCATACGAACTATCGTTTTTTTTTATTAGAAAATAATGACGTAGGACGCGTCCATGTAACATATAACATATAGTCCTGTATTTTTAATATGGAGATGATAAAATGTTTTCTAAAAACTTAGAATGAACAGATGGCGTTTGTTTTTTATCTCGCTTCAAAATTTTCTCGTAGCGTTTCATATCTATATCTATACATGTACCCCCGAAGGTGGAACACACATTGTCTCGTTTCTTGTTTCACTCACCTCGTTCATTCGTTACGAAGCCAGTGCGGCGTTAACCA